ACTTGGCGTGACTTGACGTGACTTGACGCGACTTGGCGTGACTTGACGTTATTTGACGTAACTTGACGTGAAGAGAAGGGAGACGGTGCGAGGCGAGACTAATCTATGTTAGGATAATTTAGGTTAGGTTAGGTTAGATTAGGTTAGGTTAGTTTACGTTAGGTTAAGTTAGGTTAGGTTGGGTTGGGTTGGTTTGGTTAGTTTAAGTTAGGTTGGGTTGGGTTGGTTTGGGTGGGGTTGGGTTGGGGTAGGTTGGTTTGGGTTGTGTTGGGTTAGGGTAGGTAAATTTAGGTTAGGTTACGTTGGTTTGGATTGGATTGTGTTGGGTTGTGTTGGGTTGGGTAGGGTTAGGTTGGGTAAGTTTGTGTTAGGTTAGGTTAGATTTTCGCAGTAGTCTTGTGCGCATCAATCAGTAACAGCGTTACACGTCTCTTCTCTTAAATTAAGTGAGGTAGGCTGAGATCTGATGACGTGAAATGACGTTACGTGACTTTGCGTGACTTGGCGTGTTTTGACTTGACTTGGCGTGACTTCGCATGACTTGTGATTTCGCGTGATTTGGCGTGATTTGACTTGACTTGGTGTGCCTTTACGTTACTTGACGCGACTTGGCGTGACTTGACGTTAATTGACGTAACTTGACGTGAAGAGAAGCGAGACGTGGCGAGGCGAGACTAGTCTACGCTAGGATAATTTAGGTTAGGTCAGGGTAGGTTAAGTTAGGATAGGTTAAGTTAAATTTGGTTAGGTTAAGTTAGGTTAGGTTACTTTAGGTTTGCGCAGAAGACGTGCGCATCAATCAGGCACCGAGGGGTACAGTTCCCTGCTCTTGAATTAGGTGAAGTCAGGTGAATTGCGGTGGGGTTACTTGAGGTGACGTGAAGTTACGTGACGTGAGATGACATACCTTGGCCTGATTTGACGTTACTTTACTTGACTTTACGTGACTTGGCGTGCCATGGTGTGATTTGATGTGACTTGACTTGAGGCGAGGCGACAAGGGGCGTGGCGAGACGGGGCGAGACGAGACTGGGCGAAGCGAGCCGAGTCTAGACTAGAATAGGCTACCCTTAGTTAGGTTATGTTATATTATATTATAGTAGGTTAGGTTAGGTTCGCGCAGAACACTTGTGCTCATCAATCAGTAACTGAGTGGTACCATTCCCTGCTGTTTCTTTAGGCGAGTTGAGGTGAGATTTTATGAGGTGAATTGAGGTGAGGTGACGTTACGTGACGTGACTTGATGTGACTTGTCTTGATTTGACGTGACTTAGCGTGATTTGTTGTGACTTGGCGTGACTTGACGGGATTTGAGGTGACGTGGCTTGACTTGGCGTGTATTGAATTGACTTGGCGATACTTGACGTGAGGCGAGGCGAGGCGAGGCAAGACGAGGCTAGGCTAGGCTAGGCTAATCTAGGCTGGGCTAGGCTGGGCTAGGTTAGGTTAGTTTGATTTCGGTTAGGTTACTTTAAGTTAGGTTGGTTTGGATGGCTTAAGTTAGGTTAGGTTAGGTTAGTTTTGCGCAGTAGATTTGTGCGCATCAATCAGTAACTTATGGTACCATTCCCTACTGTTAAGTTAGGTGACCTGTGGTGAGGTGGGTGTGAGGTGTGTTGAGTTGAGGTGACGTGACGTGACTTGACGTGGCTTGGCGTGACTTGATGTTACTTCACGTGACTTGTGTCTTGGCGTGACTTGACGTTACTTGCCGTAATTGAACGTGAGGCGTGGCGAGAGGAGTCGAGGAAAAGCGAGGGGAGGATAGGCTAGGATAGGCTCGGTTAGACTAGGTTAGGTTAGGTTAGGTTCAGTTACTGATATCACGGGTTTCTGGACTTTATCCATCGTCCTGGTTTTTAAGATAACAAATAAAAACACGACGTTTCGGAAACTGGATCTGTTTCCGTCCTCAGGTGAAGGAAAAGGGGAAACACCTATTCTGTTGGGTCCGTTAGAGAGAGCTAGCCTCAATCACTGGGTCCAGGTGAGGTGACGTACGTGATGTGACTTGACGTGATTTGGCATAATTTGACGTGATTTGGCCTCACTTGACCTGTCTTGACGTGACTTGATGTGAGGCATGGCGAGACGGGGCGAGGGGAGACGGGGCTAGGTTAGGCTAGGCTAGGTTAGTTTATTTTAGGTTAGGTTAGGTTATGTTAGATTAGGTTAGATAAGGTTTTCGCTGTAGACTTCCCCGCATAAATCAGTAACTGATGGGTACTATTCCCTACTTTTAAGTTAGGTGAGGTGAGGTGAGCTGAGGTGTGGTGAGGCTAGGCTAGATTAGGTTAGGTTAGGTTAGGTTGTGCTAGGTTAGATTAGGTTGGGTTTGATTAAGTAAAGTTATGTTGGGTTAGGTCAGGTTAGGTTAGGTTTGCGCAGTAGTGCGGATCTATCAGTAACTGAGGGGTACCATTCCTGCTCTTAAGTTAGGTGATGTTAGGTAAAGTGAGTGGAGGTCTGGTGACGTGACGTGACGTGACTTGACGTAACTTGGCGTGACTTAGCTTGACTTGGCGTGACTTGACGTCCCTTGACGTGACTTGATGTGTCTTCCTGACTTGGCGTGACTTGAACTGACTTGGCGTGGATTGACGTGACTTGACTTGTCGGGACTTGACGTGCCTTGGTATGACCTGACGTCGCCTGGGGCGTGGCGAGACGGGCCGAGGGGAGACGGGGCTAGGCTAGGCCAGGTTAGTTTATTTTAGGTTAGGTTAGGTTATGTTAAATTAGGTTAGGTTAGGTAAGGTTTTCGCTGTAGACTTCCCCGCATAAATCAGTAACTGATGGAGACTATTCCCTACTTTTAAGTTAGTTGAGGTGAGCTGAGCTGAGGTGAGGTGAGGTGTGGTGAGGCTAGGCTAGATTAGGTTAGGTTAGANAAATTAGTGGTACTATTCCCTACTTTTAAGTTAGGTGAGGTGAGGTGTGGTGAGGCTAGGTTAGATTAGGTTAGGTTAGATTGTGCTAGGTTAGATTAGGTTGGGTTTGATTAAGTAAAGTTATGTTGGGTTAGGTCAGGTTAGGTTAGGTTTGCGCAGTAGTGCGGATCTATCAGTAACTGAGGGGTACCATTCCCTGCTCTTAAGTTAGGTGATGTTAGGTAAAGTGAGTGGAGGTATGGTGACGTGACGTGACGTGACTTGACGTAACTTGGCGTGACTTAGCTTGACTTGGCGTGACTTGACGTCCCTTGACGTGACTTGATGTGTCTTCCTGACTTGGCGTGACTTGAACTGACTTGGCGTGGATTGACGTGACTTGACTTGTCGGGACTTGACGTGCCTTGGCATGACCTGACGTCGCCTGGGGCGTGGCGAGACGGGCCGAGGGGAGACGGGGCTAGGCTAGGCCAGGTTAGTTTATTTTAGGTTAGGTTAGGTTATGTTAAATTAGGTTAGGTTAGGTAAGGTTTTCGCTGTAGACTTCCCCGCATAAATCAGTAACTGATGGAGACTATTCCCTACTTTTAAGTTAGTTGAGGTGAGCTGAGCTGAGGTGAGGTGAGGTGTGGTGAGGCTAGGCTAGATTAGGTTAGGTTAGATTGTGCTAGGTTAGATTAGGTTGGGTTTGATTAAGTAAAGTTATGTTGGGTTAGGTCAGGTTAGGTTAGGTTTGCGCAGTAGTCTTGTGCGCATCTATCAGTAACTGAGGGGTACCATTCCCTGATCTTAAGTTAGGTGACGTGAAGTGAAGTGAGTTGAGGTGTGNAAAGTGAGTGGAGGTCTGGTGACGTGACGTGACGTGACTTGACGTAACTTGGCGTGACTTAGCTTGACTTGGCGTGACTTGACGTTCCTTGACGTGACTTGATGTGTCTTCCTGACTTGGCGTGACTTGAACTGACTTGGCGTGGATTGTCGTGACTTGACTTGTCGGGACTTGACGTGCCTTGGCATGACCTGACGTCGCCTGAGGCGTTGCGAGACGGGCCGAGGGGTGACGGGGCTAGGCTTGCCTAGGTTAATTTTATTTTAGGTTAGGTTAGGTTAGGTTTTCGCAGTAGACTTCCCCGCATAAATCAGTAACTGATGGGTACCATACCCTGCTGTTAACTTTACAAACATGATACTCCTCAGTTCCGCAACGAAATCGAAGTGTTTTCCCTCTGATCCATGAAACAAGTTTGAATGGAAAAAAAATACAACATTATGTATATTTATTGTGTTAACGATATTACATGCATATAAGAATACTGTATGTGTGTCGTGAAAGACAATGTGTCATTGTGGTTATTCTTGCATTATAATTAATATCCCATGATTAAATACCCTCACACCTAATATTATATTAACTTAGGGAAGTTCGCCCCCTCCAACGTACAGATGGATGCGCAGTAGTCTACTGCTCAAACATAACCTTATTTATCATTAAGTAATCTTACCCAAGGTCCAGCCCCCCTGAGTTACAGGTGGATGGACAGTAGTCCATTGCGCAGCCCTAACAGTGGCGTCTCTTACCAAGGTGGTATGCGAATTTAAACATATATTGTTTTTTTTATGCTTGCAATCCTGTTTAACAATCACTTCTTCGGAATTTTTAACGTAAATTGAAAATGACATCAATTTTTATTTCACATTCAGAAATGATTTACATAATTTGTAAGGCCTATTGCATATTATGTTGACATGAAACTATGGATAGTGAGGCAGAAGGTGGTAATTGCTATGCTCAATATTTCGCCACCACGTCTCTTAATGGTCCTGCCTCCAATTTTCATTATATTTCAAGTTATAATTAGTTAAAGAATGAGGGCTTTCTATTTTATTTTCTAGTTCCTAATCATGTTTCAAATTTTGCATTCTTTTTTTTTCTGTATTCTACAAAATGTGGATATAGAACAATTTGGAACTAAGCTGCTATTTAAAAAAAAGAAAATGGTGAGGAACACTCAGTTTCTCTGGCAATAAAGTATTTAATTGAGATCGGCGAATCTAAATATATTCTGATACACAGATATGAATAAATAAGTCAACTCCATGATAGCTTCCATAACATTTATTAAAATTCACGATTTCAGAAGACAAATACTGACATAAATTAGGTCCCTTAACAGTAAGGAATGTTAGATTGTACTTTCTTTACAAGTATTTATAGATTCATAATGACAAAAACAAAATGGATGTAGTCCTAGAGGAATTAAAAATGGCGGACGTTGTGTTTCGTCACTTCCTTTTGAAACAAGTGACAGCATTGAAGTAGCATCGCCAGTAGACTCTCCCTTTCTCCTGGCCACGACGTTGTAAGTCCATCTGCAAACGAGAAACTGCTGGATAATAGAGTCAGTCACTTAACAAAACCGAATAAATAAAATATAGAAATATAAATTTCGGTGTATAAAAATGTCGCGCTGTAACATATTTCCATGTTCTTAGATGATAGAATACTTCCTGCCCATGTCTTCGAAACTGAGGTTTTCATGAGTTTTTCAGCAACTATGAATTTTCCGGAATGTGACGCCATATTTTTGGTAGGAATTTACCAACGTTTCGTTAAACTGTTTGCTACATAATGCATGCTGTTCGTCACTTGATTGCTTTGATCCAGAATGTGGTGGTAGTATACTCCTCCAAAAGTCGATAAATTTGTACCAAAACAGACGGTGTCACATCCCAGAGGAAAATATTCATCATGTCTGCTTATGAACAGAACGGAGATTGAAGCTGCAGAGATCGCTCAGATTAAAACATTGAAACTCATAACATTATTTGGATGTGATGACATAGAGATTGTTAGCTGTGGACGTTTTCCATAGAGTTGTGTCGGCTGCGATCGAGGAAATGTCATATTACTTATTATTTAAGTTTCCACTTTCATATACATATTTTGTTACAAGGGAACAACACTAGCGCCATCACATCTTTGTGTGCTGACACGACACATTGAAACATGCAGCTTTACGTGTGTCTGTGTGTCTGTGTGGCTTCTTACGACAGTAGAAAATAAGGCAATCGTGCACTTGCATGAAAACATAACCGAGATTTTACAATAGTAGGCACTATGATACAAGCGGAAGATCACGAGTTTGATTCCCGATGAGGTTATTTGATTATCAAATTGACTTCAAACCTTCCAGTCGCACTGTGGCTCTGGAGTCGAACCAGCCTTTAACAGAAATGAGTACCGGGAATCTTCCTGGTGGGTAAAGGGTGACCGGCGCGTAACACTGGTAACCTCACCGCCATCTGTGAGCCGATTGTCTAGAAAATGTGGAAGCTTCAATGTCTCATAGCCCTATGGGCCTCCATAACTTTTCTTTTTTTAGGATGCTTTAATTGGATTTTACTGTCTTTTTACCTATAACACAGTTTGGTAGTCAGATAAGACTAGAACAAAAGTTTCGGAGGAAAGAACTTCTCCATCTTCAGGGTAGATTCAGTGAGAACTTTGGTAGTACTCGCTCTGAAGGCGAGGGATGCCCTGCCACCTGAACCCCATGCCATCTTCATTCTGCCGCACTGAACTTGCCAGCAAAGTTCCGGGCTTGATCAAGGAAAGCGACAACTCTCTCAGCCGACTCAGCTCGGACCGCTCAGCATCAGCTTGTGGGATGTACGTATTTAATTTGGATATTTCAGTCGATATAGCAACGTGCTACTGGCTGGGTGGCCGGGACTATTTCACATCGCCTAGGCAGGCAAGCTCTGAGGCCTACTTACCCAGCCTCCTGTCCAGTAGGTATCGGGAGCTCATTCCCCGGGGTTTAAAGGGCCGTGGCGTGAAACTGATCATTTATTTCCACCTAGTGCCGAGGTCAAGAATAGAGGAGCTATACCTCAATACCCCATAAGTCTTCATGGCATAGTGCTTAATCAGCTAAGCACACGGACAACTTGACCTCACATTTCACTTCATGTTTCATACCACGCCAAATTTATCTCATGCCGAGTTGGTATGTGTACAGAAATTTTAATAGGGGAATTTTGGCCTCAAATTTATAGACTTGTGAGGCTTATGACATCGCCTTGTTATTTGTTCTCTGTCTGTTTGTATATGCCCTTTAATTTTTGTTAGGAGTCTTTATAAGTTCACCTTTCTGTCCATGTATCCCCCTACAGTTGCTAGAATGTGGGACATTGTTATTATTATTATGAGATCACATTGTTGTCTGCCTGTGTGTTGGTTCGCTAATTCTTTCCTCCTTCTATGCGGTCCAAGCCGTATCAAAGGAAAGTAGGGAATTTGTTCTTCCCAGATCTTCTTGCAATATTATACGATCATCTGTCTACATCTGTGTTTTCGAAGTGGTATCTTCCATTATGATATTTTGCTATTAAAGTGTTGCATAAGATTACATTTGTGTTTCTCCATGCTCTCAGAATTCTCCCCAACCTATACTGATTAATTTGGTATTTCTAGTAAGATTTAATTAATATTAGGGACATTTCGTAACCCAGTTCCATGTCTACACTTCATATAACATTGCTTTAATTATGTGTAGGTAAATGCAGCTTTCTACTCAATGCGGAGAGAACTGTGTCTAACCATCACGAATTAGGAGATGTTTATTCCACTGCACTGGAAACCGAAGCTTCCCACCCACATCGACCACGAGCTGTGGAAAAGCTTTTAGAGCAAAGCGGTTTGGCCGTAAGTTAGTAACTGCGAGAATGTTACAGAGCAAGCAGCAGATTTGTCTCCCAAATGTAGTCGGAGAACAAAATGGAAGCCGCATTAAACATTTAATCGAAAAAGTTGTTTCTTTTGTGCAGAATCGTCATGTGCGCAAGGGAAATATCTTGTTTGCGTCCTGAAGCGATCCTTTTTTGGCNTTATGGATTCGAAACTTAAAACGAAGAGTAGAAAGCAGTCTTCTTGGATGTGCCACCGTGCAGATGTGGTGTTAACCGACGTTTCGCCTCCATCTTCAGGGTAGAAGGAAAAACAAGAAAATCCGCAAGCGAAGAGACAGTCTGCTTGCACCTGTTCTCACTCTCTCTTTGCTTGAGGATTTTCTTGTTTTTCCTTCTGCCTTGAAGATGGAGGCGATACGTTCCTCCGAAACGTCGGTTAACACCTATACCTATCTATACCGACCGAGCGACCGCCGCTTGTCGGCGAAGTTAGTGCCAACTTTTGCGGATACAGGGTATCACATGGTAAGCGCAACGGTTCCCCACGCCCGTTAATCTCGGTTTTCTAGACCGGGGGCATTTCCTTATTACATTCCAATATGTCGCGTGTCCTAGTGCCTAATTTAGCTAATGTAAACTTATATTGTAACAGAAAGTTAAACATAGTTCGTAATGTTTCGTCCTCGGATTATCGTAAGACCGGATCATAGTCAAGCCAATGTCCATTGCTTCTAATTTAAATATTGTGCCCAGAATAATTTAATCAGAACAAAGAGCCATTACTAGGTTACGGCACATTAAACAATTCGTCAGACTAAAAACGATTGCACATGCAACAGAGGAATTGTGTTTTCTGTGCGGTCAGTGCCGAGACTATATAATGAGGACCAGCTGTCATTACGAGACAGCAGCACTCGAGCTTACGACCTTTCAAGTAACTAAGATGCCGTTGTAGCATAAGATAATTAAGATAGGCATGATCTGCTTTCCAAAGACTGACTGTCAGAGGACATGTATATAAGGCACAAGGGAAAAATTTGAATAACATGCTATATGCTCATATGTACACTTGACAAAAACGAAGCCTTTTCGTAACAGACAAACCCATCCTTTCGCCAGAGATGTTGTTGCATAAGAACTATGACCGCAAGGGTTCAATTGCAAAAAAGGTATCTGGTCTTGATCCTCAAGGGGTTTTGCGCCAATGCTAACTGATTTGTGGTAAACTGCCAGTCGTAAAGTGACTCTGACTGTAACTAGAAGACAGTCTTTAGTCGGTAGATGCAAGAGTGGGAGGTTAGCATGAGATGGCCGCCAGCCTGCGAGGAAGCGAGCCCGAGAGCAGAGGAACGTCCACTGTTGAAAATGTTACCCATCAGCACGGTGAAGACTGAGTAATGAGATATAGTGCGTTCTGTATTGCATTGTAAAGTGTAATCACGAGTTAAGAGTCAAATATAAGACAGTCAATCCAAAACCAGTCTATAGTCACTCTATCACGTGACAATGTGTTACGTATTATCCTTATCACCATGAAGAATTTTATTCAAATAACGTATCACATAATTACAGATCTGTTGACGTTACATTTGCTGGAAGTAACATCAAAATTTTCCCGATCGCCATGTCCATAATTGTTGATTGATAAAGCAGTAGTTCACAAATAATACGTAAATATTGTCACGTGTGGGGTGTGTCACGCGACAAATAACTTTACGTGGGTCTCGGATTTAGCGGATCTTTATTGGACACTCACACTTACACACCTTACAATTATTATCACTCGCAGTGTCAGTTGGAGTCACGCGCAATTGCACAAGGACACGTACCGCACGGAATCACGACAAATACGGACATAAAAAACTGGACACTGTGGAAGGGTCGACCCCCTCCAAAACGAAGAAAGGGAAACGGCCCGTATGGGAGGAACCGGTAACGTAGAAGCACCGGCCTCCCTAGCAAGAATGAAAGTAAGGAATGAATGTGAGGCAATGGGACCAACAAGTCCTGGACCTTGGAAGTGCTCGGGGAGAGCACTCTGGAAGAAGGGGGCGGATGGAAGGAAGGCAAAACACTGAAGGAAAGGCGGAGGTAACACGTGGAAGATGAACACCTTAGGAATCTAAACCAAGGAAGTACCGTTAGGCTGTTCGTTGACGAACAGCCTTTAGAAGGGAGAAATGTGACTAGTTATGTTACGTCCATCACCGCGACAACCGCTACAATCGGAACGGACACTTCCATGACAACGAATACGTGGAAATTGTGGAACCGCAGCGACAAATCGTAGCACGAATTGTCGTTGAGTAACAACGGATGAGACGAAACACGTTACCAATGTATAAGGAGCACTCCCGAAGCAACGGATTGCCGACCACGTGAGGTCGAACCTTGGCGAGGGATCTCCTCTATTGAGTCCGCGTGAGCCTTATATAAAGGGCCTGGCCTCCAACGTAAGTTGACTATTAGAGAACTGAGGATCGAGTATTGAGACAGAAGCCAAGTGATACTACAACTGATAACTGTAAAGAGTGTAAGAATGAGTATCCAATAAAGATTCGCTAAATCCGAGACCCACGTGAAGTTATTTGTCGCGTGACATACCCAACACGTGGCATATGTTCATGCCCTATCTACTTACCAAATTTAATATGCCTGGCTCAAATGGTTCATAGTCA